CTCTTACCAACGAACTACTAGGCTGCACTCGTCTTGATTATGCTCGGGTTTGTGTTGAGTTGGGTGCTACGATGCCTATGATTCATTCCTTTCGGTTAAAATGTAGGTTATCTTCGGAATCTATATCGGTTTCGAGTTGAGTATGAATGAAAGCCGAGTGTACGTGGAACTTGCAAAGTGTTTGGGCATTCGTGCGAGGCTAAGGGTGGACCGAGTTAATTTGGCGAAACCAAAAATGGAGGGGATGTCTTAATGGCATTAAGACATCCCCTCCATTTTTGGTTTCGCCAAATTAAGACATTAAGACCATTAAGACATCCCCTCTATTTAGACATCCCCTCCATTTTTGGTTTACGCCAAATTAACTGGTCCACCCTTAGCCTTCGCACGAATGCTCAAACACTTCGCAAGTTCCACGGACGCTCGACTTTCATTCATACTCAATCGAAACCGATATAGACTCCGAAGATAACCTACATTTCAATTGAAAGGAATGAATCATAGGCATCGTAACACCCAACTCAACACAAACCCGAGCATAATCAAGACGAGTGCGACTTAGAGTTTGTTGGTAAGAGGATAAAGGTCTTCCAACCATACTCGCCGCCATACCTAATCCGAGTCTCATTCCACAATGGAAAAGGCAAACCGTGAAGTCGGATCCACACTGGAACTTTGGAAATTTTAGATTTGTCAAAAACAAAGTGGGGATGCCACCGTTGGAGAACAAAGCTCTTACCCCCAAACATCCACGGTCCCTGCTCCATAACCGAATGAACATCCTCCTCGCTCTTGAACCGAAAAATCATGAAGCCTTTTTGTGTGGAGGAAACACTCTTAAGACCGGAATTTTTCCAAACCCGTCAGGCAATAGAGTTCACCCCATGGAACGACGATCCGAGCACCTGAAAAAAAACCAACTAAGCATCGGCTCCATCCTAAAGAACTCTCATCAATGACATGGTCGGAATTTCCAAAATGGTACCCATTTGTTGCCTTGGAAATGATGCAATTGAAGCTCGAGTTTTGGCACTAGACACCTTAACCCGATCGACTCATGACCCACTAGGGGAGGTGAATGTGGTGGTGGCTTTGCCATTGGTGATGGCATTCAAATGATTGGTTGTTGTTTGTGGTGGGATAGGTTTCAATTTATGGGTGGTTTGGTCGATGTAAGGAGGCTAGTGGGTGGTTTGGGTGGTTTTAGGTTGACTGGTTGTGGCTGTTTTGATGGTATTTTGGGTGGTTGTGGCGTTTTTTGTAGTGGAGGTGGACGCCGTTCATTGTTACTGTTCGGAAGTCATATTGCAGGGGTTTTTCTCGCAACAAAACCCAAAGAACTCCAAATCTGTACGGTGAGCACGTAGCCCCATGAACTACGAATCTTTCTGCACAAGTGTCAGCCTCATCCAACGGTGGACGGCGGAGAGATTGCCCTCACGGCAACAGGCGACACAATTCCAGGAAGTCTCTGTTTGAAAGAGAGAACGCCTCGCTCAACGCTCCAAACTCAATCTCCACCGTTCAGACACCGAATCCCTACTAGACACAGCTGTGGTAGAAATTTGAGCCCAATCCAACGGTTTAAAAAGGCCAAACCACCAAAACAATCAAAGTTGTTCTGCCAAGAAAAATGTAAAAAAATCACAGAATAATCAAACGAATAGATTTCTTGTTTTCCAAATCTGATCAGGAAATCCTTCTGTCAGAATGCCGAAGAGAGACACAAGAAAAACATACCCAAATTTCAAGACAATCGGACGGTCGACGGCGGAGATATAGCTCCGACGGCGGAAACAATCTCACTGCCAACTGTTAAAGTTTTTCAACCCGTATGTTCCAAAGCTTGTAAATCCTTGCTCGACAATTGAAATTAAAATCGCTCCGGTGAGAAGGAAGAGCAAGGTCAGGAGAACAACATACCAAACATTCAGCACGATCCGACGGTTGACGACGAAGATCGAGCTCCGGCAGCCGCGAGTCTCACTCTAAAAAACCTGCAGAGCTTCTTCCTCCCTCCCTAAATCCTAAAACCCCCTTTTTGTGTTCATGGGCATATGCAGAAGAAAGTGTGGTTAAACGTTAAACCCTAAAATCCTAAAACTTATACCCTATACCCTAAACTTAAACCTCAAAACCCTAAATTCTAAAACTCAAAATTCTAAACCCATAAAACCCAAAACCCTAAACCCTCAACCCTAACTCCTAAGTCCCTAAATCCTTAATCCATAAAGATGAAATCCCAAAATGACGTAAACCTGATTTTATTTTATTTTATTTTATTTTTTTAGTAATGTGATTTTTATTTTTTTATGGTTCTTTAAATTCTTTTTTTATTATTTTTTTCTTTTGATTTTCAGTTTTTTATCTTTCCACTTTTGGTTTTCGATTGTTTTTTCCTTTTGTCCTTTATTTTTCTTTTTAATTTTAGATTTAATCTTTTCATTTCTGTATTTTTTTTTCAATTTTTTGTTTTTCTTTTTCGATTTTTTTCGTTTTTATTTAACGTTTTTTTTATTCCTCATTTTCTTCATATTTTTTTTTCATTTTCTATTTTTTGTTTCCATTTTTTCTCCTTTTTTGTTACATTTTTTTGTTTTTGGGTTATTTCTTTTTTATATTTTTATCTTTTGTTTTTCATTTTTTATTTTTTACTTTTTGATTTTTGGTTTTTTTTGTTTTATTTGTTTTACGGTTTGTTTTGGTTATTTATTTCTGTTTTTTTTTCTTCCTAAGGTTTTTTTTTTTTTTGTATTTGGTTTTTTAATTTATTTTCATTTTTTGTCTATTTATTCTCTTTTTTTCTTTTCGAGTTTTTTTTCTTGTTTTTTATTTTTTTTCTTTTTTGTTTTTTGGTTTTTTTATTTTATTTTCTTTTTTTATCCTCCATTTTTTCGTTTTTGGTTTTTTTTTTGTTTTTTTTGTTTTACGGTTTGTTTTATTTTTTTCTATTTTTTTGTTTCTACTTTAGGTTTTTTTTTGTTTTTTTTTTTATTTTATATCATTTTATTTTCTCCTTTTTTTCTTTTCGAGTTTTTTTTGGTTTTTTTATTTTTTTCGTTTTTCATTTTTTGTCTCTTTTTCCTTTTTTGGTTTGGCATTTTATTTCCATTTTTAGTTTTTTAGTTTTTTTTTGTTTGTTGTTTTTTTTCATTTTATTTTTTTCTTTTGATTTTTGTTTTTGGAATTTTTTTTTTTCGATCTTTTGTCTTGTTTTTCGTTTTTTGGCTACTTTTTTTTTTTTTTGCATTTTCATGGTTTGGGTTTTTTTTATTTAATTTTTTAATTTTTAATTTTTTTTTCTTTTAATTTTTTTTTTTTTTTGCTGTTTTTTAATTTTTTGCTTTTGGTTTTTTGTTTTTCTTTTTTTATTTTTTATCTTATTTTATTTTATTTTTATATTTTTTTTCATCTTTGGTTTTTTTATTTTTCTTTTGGTTGTTTTAACTTTTGATTTTTCTTTTTTTTTTTTTTGTAGTTTCTTATATTTTTTAATTTAATTTTTCTATTTTTTTCCCTCTCTTTTTTTTTTCAATTTTTCTTTTTTGCGTTTATTTACTTTTTTATTTTTCTTTACCTTTTTTCTTCTTATCTTTTATTTTTTATTTTTTATTTTCAATTTTTTTGTTTTATTCTTTTTCAATTTTTTTTTTTTACATTTCTAGTTCTCAATTTTTGTTTATTTTTTTTCTGTTTCGCATTTTGTTTTTGATTTTTTGTTCTCGTTTTTTTGTTCTTTTTTTCTCTATTTACGACTGATTTTTTTTATTGGAAATTTCGATTTTTTTCTTTTACTTTTGGGTTTTTTAAATATTTTTTTCTTTTTCATTCTTTGTTGTTTTTTGCTTTTTATCTTCGTTTTTTTCCTTTTTTTTATTTCTTGATGTTTGGTTTTCTTGTAAACCGAAATCTCAAGTCCTAATACCCCTAAACTCTAAACAAAAATATTAATTCATTCTAACAATAAATACATATAAATTTATGCAAAATAATTTTTGAAAGAAAAGGGTATGATTGCAAATCCCATTGCATGCGGCGTGCAATGACACTAAGCTCACTGCAAGATTCGATGCTCAATTCTTCAAGAGATGTGAGGTGTTGAAGGGAGTGATTGCAAATCCCATTGCGTGCGCCCTGAGTTAATTTTGGAAAGGAATCAACTTCGAATGAGGGAATTCCGAATGCATACTCTCTGGAAGGGACTTCAATTTTCTGCAATCCAATAACCAAACAAGAGCAATCATAGATTGATAAAGAACGAAGGTATGTAAAATCACATAGAGGTCCCGCTCCCAAACTAAGTGATTCTACATTTTTACAACTCCACATGCTAAGCTTCTCTAACTTTGGGAAACAACTCCACCTGGAAGCACTATAGTGATTGACATTTACTGATTTCAATTTCTTCTGAAAAAGTGGACATACAAGGAACACTTATTTGCTCCATTCCCTTTGATAAGGATTCTCTAGTAACTTAAAGATGCAACTTCCCAGTATACAATACCCATGCACTTGTGCGACTCATGAAACTATAATTCTCAAAGAAATACGAAATAAGAAGTGAGATTGGGAGCCACTGCATTTGAAACCACAAGTTTTGGACATTATTACCTGCGATGTAAGGAGTAGCTGTCGGGTTTTTTTTTTCTTACAAAAGCTTGCTTTCTTCTCCCTAATTCCTGCAGATTGTTAGAATGGATAAAACCGATTAGCATAAAAATAAACCCAAAAATAACAATTCCTTACGCAACCATTACAAAAGCAATTCCATAACTTCACAGATTCTGTGACAATACTCTGAAACATAGCACATTAAGAGTCTATTTAAGAAGTCCTTACATCATTTGAACGACACCTCGTACCACATCCACCTTGCTTGTCTTCCTCGTCAAGGGAATGATTGCAGTCATATGATGTATGTCGTCAACGAGATTCGACACGTTTCTTTGCTTTGCTTAAAACGTAAGTACACTAAAAATCCAAAAAAACCTCCATAAAAGTAACATGCGTGATGCGGTTTATGAGAGCTAGGAGGGAGAGAAAGAAGCATGAAGTGAGGCGAAGGAGAAACCTGGAGGTAGAGAAGGAGCTGTAGTTGGCAGAGAGAACAGAGTTATTGAAGATCAAAGAGAGCTCTGCAATCAGAATTGAAAATAACAAGTAACAGAAAATGAAGATGGTCACCAAGTTGGTCATAGACCAGATTGAATAAGGAGACAAGTAGGCCATGTATGAACAAGAGAGATGTAGTGTTTTTTTAATGTTAAACGAGAGGAGACAGATGGATGTTCATTTGAATTTGGAATTCAGGAGAAGGTCTAGTGGGCGGGATAGTTGGGACTTGGGCGGGATATTTGGGCGGGATAGTTTGGACGTAGATGTGACGGCATGAAGTGAAGGCATGCAGATGTCTAGCTCGACGATGGCAATGATCTTTCTAACAAAACGCGTGGAAAGGAAGGTGGAAATTAACAGCAAACTGGTGAAGAATATGAATGATCAAAGACATGACGTAACTGATATGTGTGCGATGTCCTCATTCATTCTCATTTATAATAAAATATTACATGCATCAGTTAATGTTTTCCTACTAATTTTAGAAAAAGGGAAAACTCAACATTCTCATAAAATCAGAAGCCTCCAATCTGTATGTTGATTAATTAAGTACATAATATAATGGGAAATTAATAATTACATGATGTGCTAACAGATAACAACTGCAGTACGTACTTCCAAGATTAATAATACATATAGTGAAATAAAATAGTAATTAATTAATTGCCAGTACAAATTCATAGTTTGGACGGCATGAAGTGAAGGCATGCAGTTGTCTAGCTCGAAGATGGCAATGTAGCACTGCCAATACTGTACTCTAATATTATACGCAAAGTATATATCTAAATGAATTTGAAAAATCATTTACTTCATTTTCACACGTGCGGAGGAAGGGAGGAATAAGGACATAAATGCATTTACAAACTGAAATGGGTCATTTATGATCGAATAAAACAAAAGATTTAACTTTATATTTTTGTAATTTGCTTATTCTATTTCTTGGCTTTTAATCATTTTTATTTGGTTCATTTTCGAATTTATTTGTGCATAGCATAAGAGGATATCGAGAGTTTACATCATTCTATCATTATTCAAAAAAATTTTATTGTTGTGTATTATTTTTTAACCGCCTGAATTAAAAGAATTTTTAATCAAATAATTTATATAAAATTTAAATACAATCACTAGAATAATTTATCTTTATTTTAAAATCTAAGTTAAACGGTTTAAATTGCCAATTTTAAGGGCGGAAGTGTTTCCTCAGGTAAGGATTCCACATCCTGACGGCCCTAAATGTTAAATTTTTAGAGTGATTGTAATTTGGAGGGGTGACAAGACTCAATTCTGGACAAAAAGATATACTCAAACCGTCCAGGAAGGAGGGAATGCATGATTTCAATTTCAGGCAATGACTGCAAGCTTGAGCAATGATTCCTGTGCCACCCAAATCTTATGTAAACACACGTTGCCATCTTTTCCTACAAAACATACTTTTTTCTTGATTTGGGTGTCGTGATTTGTTGGTTTGCTGGAATAATAAAAAGGTTTCTAAATGAATTCAAAAAACCATTTACTTCATTTTCATTTTAACACACGCAGACACTTCCATGCTTAATGGACCCACCCATACTGAAAAGGTTATAGGCCAGTCATTGTAAGTGATGACTAGCTGACAATCTCTTATTATAGAGGGGATGCTTTTCCATCCGACGCTCTCTTATTATGGAGGATGACTAGCTTAGTCACAGTTCACAAAATGCCTCAGATGTCTTGAAGACACTCGACGGTTACTTAGATACTACATAATAGACAAATTGAATTTCAAAATTTTCATCCGAGGTAATAATTATAATATTCTATTATTAGTATAAATGAATTTCAATTTATGAATTATATTTTTATGATATTTTAAAAAATTTTATAACACTTTTTTTAGTATTTATAAAAAAATAAAGTCATTCAATAATTTAGAATTCAACAAACAAAACTATATAGCTCATTGGATTTATAACGATACGTGATTCAATTACTTTCCTTATAACTATATATAGCTATAAATTTTATTAGATCTAGTATATTTTTTATTATTATAATATTTAAATATTAATAATAACTATAAATAAATAATGTCTTCGGGATCTCTCAATTTACCAACCCTAAACATTTTATTATACAACATTTTTATCACTCTTGTTTCCATTGCTTCACCTTGCAAAGGCAAACCACGAGCATATTTAACCATAGTGTCATGCTGATTGTCTCATGTATCATCAAGTCTCGAGAGAGCCAACCAATTTTGAACGTCCAAAAATCGAGCCTCCTTTTATGTTGTGCAAGTTGGCAATGATGTTTCCTACATATGGAAGCATCAAATGTTCACATCAAATGCTTCATTGGTTTTGAAAATATTAACTGTTTCTTGGTCGGGCTATATATTTATATGGGGTTCTAGACTTCTAGTTAGGTTATCATATTCAAGCTGGGCTCGAGTCAATTAATTCGATTGGGTGGCGGTCATGCCAACCAAGTTCCACCATCATTGGAAAAATATAAGTTTTTCTTACACAAGTTATGCAAATTAATTCCTCACACATTCATCCTATAAAGAACAAAAGAAAAAAAATCAATGAAGTAATACTTTTAACCAAACAATCAACGGAGTTAGAATTATCTTAACAATTATAGTAACTCGTTTATGAAGATATCATGAACTCGAATAGTTGGTCGATGATGTTAAATTAATTTTTTTATGATTAATTAATCCCTCTATTTCTTATAAACAAATTGGTAGTTCTATTTGCTTTGAAAACAAATTATTTAACCTTTATGTTTTAAAATTTTCTTCTAATTTAATCATTTTTATTTTTTTAATTTATTTTGATTTTTTTAAAAGAAAGTAGAATAAGTAAAATTATGTAATCGAGAAAAAAAGAAGAGAAATTATTATTTGAAGATGATTGATATGAGCAAAAATTAAAAATGAATTAAATATAAATGATAATTAAAAAAATTAAAAGAAATTGTTTTTTACTATTAATAGAATGTTCATCTTCTCTCATGTTAGTGTGGACTCACCTTTTTTTTTCTTTTACGTTATAAATGTCATTATATTTTGCTCTTAATTTTTATTATTGCCATCGATTGAATCTATTAAAAACCACACTTATCCTTAATCGACTCTCCTTCTCATTTTCTTTTTCATCCTTATTCCTATTGCCTAATGTCGATTGCCTCTTGCCTAATGCGTAAAGCTTAATGCCTAGAGCATAAAGCCTAATGCTCAAAGCCTAACACCTAAAGTGTTAAAGCCTAAAGCCTAAAACCTAATGCCTAATGCCTTATTCCTAATACTTTATCCGTAATGCCTAAAGCCTAATCCCTAATGCATAATGCCTAAAGCACAAAGCCTAAAGGCTAATGCCTAATGCCTAATGGCTAACATCTAAAACCTAATGCCTAAAGCGTAATGGCTAAATTCTAATACCTAATGCCTAATGTCGAATGTCGAATGCCTAATGTCCAATGTCTAAAGCCATAAGCCTAAAGCATAAAGCTTAATACCTAATGCCTAATGTCTACTCGTCTAACTAAAGTCTAAAGCAAAATGCCTAAGGCCTAACTGCTAAAGCCTAAACTCGAAAAGCTTAAAGCCTAATGCCTAAACCCAAAAACGTAAAGCCTAATGCAGAATGCCTAAACCCGGTGCTTGATGCCTAATATCTAATTCTTAATACCTAATGCTTAACATTTAATGCCTAAAGCCTAATGCCTAAAGCATAAAGCCTAAAGCCTTAAGCATAAAGCTTTATGCCTAATGCCTCAAATTTTATGCCTAATGTCTAATGCGTAATGCGTAATACATAAAGCCTATCGCCTAAAGCTTAAAGTCTAATGCCTAAAGCATAAAGCCTAATGTCTAATGCCTAAAGCCTAAAGCGTAAATCCTAATTCCTAATGCCTAAAGCCTAAAGCCTAACGCCGAAAGTCTAATTCCTAATGCCAAATGCCTAAAGCATGCAACCTAAACCCTAAAGCCTAATGCCTAATGCCTAACACCTAACGTCCGAAGCCTAAAGCCTAATGTCTTATTCATATTGCTTAATGCCTAATGTTTAAAGCCTAAAGCCTAAAACCTAATGCCTAATGCCTAGAGCATAAAGTCTAATGCCTAATACCTATTGTCAAATGCCTAAAGCATAAAGTGTAATGACTAATGCCTAAAGCCTAATGCCTAATGCCTAATGACTAATGCTTAATGCCTAAAGCTTAACGCCTAGAGCATAAATCCTCAAGCCTAATGCCTAACGCCTAAAACTTAAAGCTTAAAGCCTAAAGTCTAATGGTTGAAGCCTAATGCCTAAAGCCTTATACCTAATGCTAAATGCCCAAAGCATGAAGCCTAAACCCTAAAGCCAAATGCCTAACACCTAATGCCTAATACCTAAAACCTAATGCCTAAAGTCTAAAGTTTAAAGCTTATTGCCTAAAGCCTAAAGCCTAATGCGTAATGCCCGGAGCATAAAGCTTAAAGCCTAATGCCTAATAATCATGGCCTATTGCCTATTGCCAAATCCCTAAAGCATAAAGTGTAATGGCTAATGCCTAAAGCTTATAGCTTAATGCCTAATACTGAAAGCTTAATTCCTAATACCTAATACCTAATGATTAATGCCTAAGGCCTAAAGCTTAACGTCTAGAGCATAAAGCCTTAAGCCTAGAACCTAAAGCCTAATGTGTAATGTCTAAAGCCTAAAGCCTAAATCCTAATGCCTAAAGCATAACGCCTATAGCATAAAGCCTTAGGCCTAGAGCCTAATGCCTAAAGCCCGCAGCTTAATGCCTAATACGTAAAGCCTCAAGCCCAACGCCTAATGCCTAGTGCCTAACATCTAATTTCTAATGCCTAATGCTAAATTGTCCAATGCCTAAAGCTTAATGCTTAATGCATATTGCATATTGCCTATAGCCCAATGCTCAATGATGAATTCCTAATGCCCAACTAAAGCAAAATGCCTAATGCTTAAGGCCTATATGCTAACGATCTAACGGCTAAAGCCTAAACTCGAAAAGCGTAAAGCCTAATGCCTAAATTCGAAAAACGTAACGCCAAATGCCTAAACCCAAAAAGCCTAAAGCCTAATATCAAATGTCGAATGCCTAATGCCTAAACCCGATGCTTAATGCATAATGTCTAATGCCTAATGCCTAATGCTTAACATCTAATGCCTAAAACCTAATGCCTAATACCAAAAGCCTTAAGCCTAAAGCTTTATGCCTAATGCCTAAAGTTTTATACCTAATGTCTAATGCATAATGCGCAATACATAAAGCCTAATGCCTAAAGCAAAAAGCCTAATGTCTACTCGTCTAATGCCTAATGCCTAAAGCTTAAATCCTAATGCCTAATGCCTAACGTCCGAAGCCTAAAGCCTTATACTTAATGCCTAACGCCTAATACCTAAATCCTAATGTCTTATTCGTATTGCTTAATGCCTAAAGCCTACTGTCTAAAGCTTAATGCATATAGCACAATGCCTAATATCTATTGTTTATTGCCAAATGCCTAAGGCTTAGAGCATAAAGCATAATGCGTAAATTGTAATGGCTAATACCTAAAGCCTATAGCCTAATGCATAATGCCTAAAGTTTAAAACTTAAATCCTAAATCCTAATGCCAAAAGCTTAACGCTTAGAGCATAAAGCCTAAAGCCTAGAACCTAATGCCTAAAGCCCAATGTCTAATGCCTAAAGCCTTATACCAAATGCCAAATGCCTAAAGCATGAAGCCTAAACCCTAAAGCGTAATGCCTAACACCGAACGCCCGAAGCCTAAAGCCTTATGCTTAATGCCCAAAGTCTAAAGTCTAAAGCCTAAAACCTAATTCTTAATGCCTAATGCTTAGAGCATAAAGCCTAATGCCTAATACTCATTGCTTATTACCTATTGCCAAATGTCTAAAGCATAAAGCATAAAGCATAAAGAGTAATGGCTAATGCCTAAAGCCTATAGCTTAATGTCTAATACCAAAAGCCTAATTTCTAATACCTAATGAGTAATGCCTAATGCACAATGTCTAAAGCTTAATGCCTACGAGCATAAAGCCTTAAGCCTAGAGCCTAAATCCTAATACCTAAAGCTTAACACCTAGATCATAAAAGCCTTAGGCCTCGAGCTTAAAGCCTAATGCCTAATGCCTAATACATAGAGCTCAATGCCTAATGTGTAAAGCCTAAAGCCTAAAGTCTAACACCTAAAGCCTTATGCCTTATACCTAATGCCTAATGCGCAATGCCTAATACCTAAAGTCTAAGGCCTAAAGCCTAATGTCAAATGCATAATGCCTAAAGCTTAATGCCTAGAGCATAAAGCTTTAAGCTTACAACCTAATGCTTAAAGCCTCACGTGTAGATCATAAACCCTAATGCCTAACGCCTAACTCCTAAAGCCTAAAGTCGAATGCCTAATGCCTAACATCTAATTCCTAATGCCTAATACCTAAAGCCTAATGCTTAATGCATATTACCTATTGCTCATAGCCCAATGCTCAATGCTCGAATTCCTAATGTCTAACTAAAGTCTAAAGCCTAATGCCTAAGACATAATATCTAATGTCCAATGCCTAAAGCATAATGCTAAATGCCCAATGCCTAATGTCAAATGTGTAATGCGCAATAACCTACAGACCTAATGCATAATGCCAAATGCCTAAAGCCTAATTCATAATGTCAAATGCTCCAAGCCTAAAACCAAAAACCCTTAAACCATTAATCCCA